ACTTTACAGTCACCCATCAAATATATTATTTTATCAGTTGAAATTATTGAAATTTTAGGAGTTGGTTGATTATATTTTTCAGAATATGTATAAAGCTCATAAAAATGTATTGCCTTTAAATATCCAATTAAATTTTGTTAAGAGAGTAAGCAATTATAATCTTAAGGGACTAGAGATGTTTGCAAAGCCTAAAATTGGAACAAATTTGATGGACCGATGTACTTCAGTACAAGGATTAAGACTGTGGAATAATCTGGAAAGTGAATATAAAAATGCTGACTCAATAAATTTGTTTAAAAGAATGATAAAAGCTAGATTGTTGGATGTGCATTCATAAGAACTGTTGTTCAAGAAGGAGTTGAAGTTTTTTGTTATGCTTTGTTATTTGAAGATTATAATTGTTTGAAGTTTTTTTTTGGAAAAAAAGGGGCAGATGTTAGTAAGATTTTTTTCTTCTTTCTGCTACCTTTCATTTTATTTGTGATTTGTTTTACTTGTTGTATGTATAGTATTTGTTTTTAAATTAAATCTACCAGCTGCAGTTAATCATGATCACTAACAAAAAAATAATACACCATGGCCTTGCCAAGAAGCGTCATCCTTTAGCTCCACTTATTAAAACATTTAGATGAATTTACAGGTATTTGAGTCAGTRTGTATAATGTTCACCGTGTGTGGTTAAAAGAAAATCCACAAAAAAAATTCAAACTTGTGTACTTATGTATTTTAATTGAAAGCTGTATGCTGTATAAATAATTCAACTCTGGCAAAAAAAATATTCTAATAAATCATTTAAAGCCCAAAATTTATTTGACATTCACACCCACAATGAGTATGGGCCTGACTCTAATTGTAAATAATGTCGTATGCTTTGTTTATTTATACAAAAGTTTGTTTTTGGAGCACAATTTAACACCAGCTGAACTATTCTGGCAAAGATTAAACAACACATGACCTATCCTGAGCCAAACTAAAGAAATAGAGCAGGAGATCTGGACTGGAAAAATGGAGGGAATAAATGATAAACCAATGATGACAAATAACAAATACCATGTTCAATACAGATGTTAACTTTGGAAACAGACGAGAACAAAAGCTGGCGAACATTCGATCTCCACGTTTAACACAAACGGTCTAAAGAGTTTCGGTGGAAACATAGCTGATCCTGGTCACTGACCTGTGGTTTAAATGGTTCAGAGGAACTGGATGGAATGTGTTTGTTTCAGTGTCTAGCTTTAACTTTGTTGATGTTCCTTTTTTTTAAATTGTAGAATATGCTCATTACGGAGATGAGAAATGTGCTGTATTATATAAGACTTCCTGTTTGTATTAGTCCTGCTTGTGCCTAAAGGCAGGCCAGGTTAAACAGATTTGTCTGGGTCAGTGCATGTACTATCTAAACACGGACAAATTAAATTTTCTTAACAAAATAAGAAAAACTATAAAAGCCCAGACAGGAAGCACAACGGCAGATATTTGCTGGAACACTGCAAAGATTGGCCGCGAGCCCCGTCAGAGTTCGCTGGTGTGGTTCTGTCAGAGTTACAGCTGTGAGCTTCACATGTGGAGCTCTGACTCCAAACACATCCAGCATTAAAACATAAACTGCTGAGTGGCAGGAGCAGAGGGGCCAGCTCAGTTTGGCTTCACTCACTTGTCATCATCGATCTAACCACYAGGTGGAAGTAAAACGTTTTATAAAACTGCTACAAAAACAGTTGTAACAAAGACCAGTCAGCTTGTGTGTTGGGTCATTTAAACCTACAGTTTAAATACCCTGTAATGTTTACTCTGACTCATATTGATTCTTGTAAAAGCTCTCATTTTTTTTTACACAATGCTTGAACGACAAGTGCTTTTCTTTAAAATGCTGTAAAAGTTTTTATATATATTTTTTACCCATTTATTCTCTTATAAAATAGTAAAATATTGGATTTATATCAAGATGATAATATTATATTTCAGTCTTGGCCCTGATRAGACTAACTGAGGCCTTTCATAGAGCTACCTACAACAGGTAAGATGTTAATTACTGATAAATGTTCCACAGAAAACCACTTCAAAACTGTTAAACTGTCCCTTTAATCCATGTTAGACCTCATTGACCTGATTTGAAAGCCAATAAAATGTCACTGAAAGCCCTTAAACTTTCATAGCGGCCTGAAAATAAAGACATGGCGACTACGAGACGAGACAGACACAACAAGAGGCAGAAATAATGCCGTGTTTCTGAATCTATTATCAATGAAGTTCACGAGTCGTTACTGATAAGCTGCTCCTCCATTGGCTCCCTTGTGTCTGCTCCRGGGTTGATACGGATGCTTTTTGTGCTGTAGTTGGACGCTAGCAGGAGCAGCTCTGGGATCAGCCAGTTCTCCTTCCATCAGCCGTTTAATGAAGGCAGCACCTGCTGATAAACCTGAGCCATGTTCAGTTCCTGGAAGACAGCAGTCAGCTCTGATAACGACTGGTAGTTGTTCACTATGAAACCCTGCAGACTGACAGACAGACACACAGAGAAGGAGGCCATGAGGGTGTCAGAAACAACACTGTAAGAATAAATATTTATTATTAAGCCCCACCTTTTCTGTTTTTACTAGCTGTAAAATGGCATACCTATTTCTAAAGGTGGAAGAAGATGGGACTTCAAGCAGAACCTTCATCATCCTTTCTTTGCATTTCTTGCCTGAAGAGTCCACATCCACCTTAACCGTCTTTAACCTATGACAAAACTCCTGAAGAGAAACAATACTGTCTCTGTTAGAGGGCACAGTGGCATCAGACGTAACCGTGGTGTTCTTGGTTTTTGTTATATGTTAAAACACAGATAACAGTGGTCGGCATAGTGAGGGTAAACATCCAGTAAAATTCCCAGAAATCCACACTTCTACCTGTTGATGATGGGTCTGTGACGTACAGAGTTATACAAGCAAAGAGTTGTGAGATTATATTTACATACAACTAAAATTAAAATAAAAATCTTAATTCTAACACAAAAAAACTCTTCATAAACTAGATACTGCATAGCGGTAACATAATCACCCCCGCACGTACAAATGCACCAGAACTCAGAAGTCTTTATTCCTAATAAATGTCATGCTACAAGGTGCATCCAAAAAAATATGGGGGGGTGGGGGGTTGGACCTGATGGATAGCCCCTCATCAGAGCTAAACAACAAAAGAAATCTGAAGCTTTTATGTTGAACAGTTTCTGAGTTATAAGCATTTTTGCATGTCCTGACACCCCCTCTTTGAAAGGAGCCCCCTCCTCAAATATGGGGTCTATCATAAAACCGCTGGCTGGTGCAGTGTAGATCAGACTCATCTACAGTCCTGCAAAATTTCATGTTGATCGGTGCAGCTGTTTTTGTGCTACGGTTGACCAAAAATCACTGAAAAAAAAAAACAGTACGGGGGTCATAATAAGCTCCATCTTATATTAAAGTTCTTACTGTTCAGTATTTTCCTAACAGAGATCTTCAGATTTACTTGTGCTTCTTAACAGTTTCTACAAAAACGTATTTTATGATAAATCCTGTAGTTCTGATTGGTTTGGGTTTCCTGAGCCATGCTCTACCACAGGGCATCACATCACAAAAAAAAAAAGTAGTTCTTCTTTGAGTCTTCAGCTAATAGATTTTCTTTTAGTTTTTTGACAAACTGTCAACATTCATTTTCTCCTTCTCACGTTTACTCTGTTTTTAAGGCTTTGCAGAGTATAAGACAGGAAGTACCTTGATGTTACGTCTTTCTCCTTGTAAAATAACGAGTATATTCTGCCCCAGCAGAAGCCTGCCTGCCAGCTGCAGCTGCTGGCTCCAGTGCTCCAGAAGTCCGATGTAACGGTTACGAGATCGGATGTGGTCCAGCAACAGAACTTCAGTCCACTCCTCCACTCTTTCACTTTCCTTCAGCCTGTCTTCGCCTTCTCTGAGGTCCTTTGTCAGTTCCACACAATGCTGCTGTAAACACATCGCATCAAAGATCATTTGATGGCGATTTGGGACTTTTCTTGTCCACTAGCTACATTTTTAAAACTCAACAGAGAAAACGTGGTGTGAAAAACTATAAAGATCTCCAGAAATTAGGACAGTTTATTAGTTTATTTATTAAGTCTCTGCTCTTCCTGCGGTCCAAAAACATACAATGTAAAAAAATACAATAAAATAAAAATAAAACAATCAATCAACATAACCACAAATCAAAACAGCCGAGCTGATGAACAAAAACCTAGAAACAAGACAACCAACTTTGATGCTTTAAAAACAAAACAATCAACTGATATACTCCAAAATAATACTCCAAAATAATACAATAAAGAAAAACAAAGAAAAAAAAACAATGAATTAAATGACTAAATGAATAAGTCAAATGATATTTCATTATGAATAATTATTTTTTTAGATTGTTTTTTAATTTATTATAATTATCTGAAATGGCTCTATACATAACTGTGTTTTTGGTGCATTAGTTTTGGGCAGAGCTGGTGTGAAAGTAATGATAGAAACACGTCTTGTAAAAGATATATTTCTTAGAAATGGGTAGTAATTGTGGGTAAAGGTTAAAAGGTTTGTGTAAAATCCTAATTTTAGGTAAAAAGAACAAGGCTGCATACAAGTCAAGACAGCATTTTCCTTTGGTTTGGTTCTTTTGTTATGCTAGTAATATCTATTCTAATCAGTAGATGATTTTCTTTCWGTAACCTATTAAAACAGATCTAACTTGTGTCTGTAAGTGCTGCTGTTCACCTGGAAGTCCTCCACCAGCTGGTGCAGCATTGGTTCTGGGGTTAGGACTGCAGCTCGATCCAGTAACTTCTGTCTGATGGCATGACACTGAGTCCTAGAGAAGCCAGTGGAGGAAATGGAGATGTCAGGAGGGCTGGAAGGATAGCTGGGGTGCAGATGGAACATCACACTCTGCCTGCTGTCTTCTCCGCTGCAGCAGTTGATCTGCACCACAAGTCCATCTTCAGCTACAAGGCAGACAGTAATGTTAGACCAGCACTGAGGCACCAAGGGTTAAAAAAACACCCAAACATTGAATTTAGTTGGGCCACATACAGCTGATGCCACCCTGTTAGACAGATGTGGCTTCACAAACATGAGTTGAAGAATGTGATATTAAAGGATGAATGCACTGGACAGGGAAATTATGCTAAGGAGGAAAAAAAAAACAGCACATTTCCAGTCAGGGACAAGCTGTCAGAAGGGCAAAAACTGCTTAATTGTGTAGCTAAAATGATTGTTTCAGACTTCCTGACGGCAATAATTTTATTTCTTGTAGAGAAAAGGCTTTACAAAACTAAAATGTTATATTGGTAAATGAAATTATTTTGTATTACTTGATTGTTATCTAATTTTCTTAAACTAAAACAACTTCTTTGGAGTTGACATCTATTTTTACCATCAGGTTTTAGAACAACAAAAGTCAAGATGACAACTAAAACTACACAGAACTGACTTGTATGTTTACTTGGTTTAGCATTAATCATGTTTTTTTTAACACAGCTGTTTTATCTCAATGTTCCAAACAGTAAAGCTTTAGTTTAGTCAGGCTGGTGGTGTTTGCAGGGTGAAAGCTGTAGTACCAGATTGTTGAAGGACCCGGAACTCTCCTTCTCCGCAGTAAATGGACGATAAAACGAAAACTTCTTCCAAAGCAGCCTCAGACATAATTTATAAGTCCTCATAAAGCAACCATACTGCTTTTTATCAGCAAAAATGCGACATGCTACCAAAATGTTTATGTTTCAGTGCATGTCCGACACTCTATACTGTCCGGGCAGCTCCTGACGACGAGCTCATTGGTTCCTGTGGTAAAATGTTTGTTGTTGTTGTTGTTGTTGTTGTTGTTGTTGTTGTTGTTGTTGTTGTTGTTGTTGTTGTTGTTG